TTTTATTTAATTTACTTACTCTATATATTCATGAGTACGTTTCTTTAGTAATTTTTCCGCAATATCCTTAGTTTTCTTGCGAGTTCTGTAGCCGCGCCATATTTTCTGTATAACTACTGCCGAATTTTCTGTGTCGGGACTAAGATTATGACTAGAATTTTCCATATTTTGTTTAAGTTGTTGGCATCTACAAAAGAAGTCAAAATCAATTTCAAAAACATTTCAATTAATCACTGACAGACACTTACCTTTGAGCAGCTTTATTTCGTATCGTTTTCAGTTTATCCACATTTATGTGGTCACTGTCATCATCTGAACTACCACCACCGGAACAATCATCCGGTGCAGCAACGAGCATTGAATTGCTAATAAATTGCCTCGATTTCATTTGATGATCCATGTGTAAAGCATGCTGTTGATTAGCCACATTCTTTGGATTTGTAGGCTGGTGCTGTGCAGTATTTGTGGTGTTTGTATGTGAATTTGTTTTTCTTGGACTCATTGTTGGACTCCGTTCTGCGGTATTGCGTTTTAAATGAGGACTACGCATTTTTGGTGAATTTAAGCGATTATCTGTCAAAGTATGAATACAATTTTCAAAATATAATTCAAAAGAGAAAAACATGTTGGCAGTTAATTTGACATGGATTTCACAGTTACTTTACCTTTGTTTTTATTAATTTTTGTCTGCTGTATTTGAGTATTTATGGCAGAGACGGTAACTCTTTGGGCCACCGCGCCAGGACAAACATCTGGACTCATAAGGGTTTCGGGTACGGGCACCATTTTTGAGGCAGCATTTAAAGGTCCTCCTATGTAATAGACATTTAGTAATTGACACAAAAATTGAGACCAAAAATTATACCATTATAGGGATTTGGTGTTATAGTGCGAGGTGTGGAATCTTGCGAGTTATTCATTTTAGAATTTGAACTGTTGACATTAGAACCTTCTAGACTCTGCGACATTAAAGTATCACAATTTTTAATATTCTCTATTAAAGATGTAGTCATCTGAACTAAATGATTAGCATTGGCTACTAAATAAAATAGAAATTATTTAAAAAATTATACTAAATATAAGTGAGATTACAAAATAAATACCTTGTTCATTTGTTGTATTGCCATGATAACTGTTTACCATAGAATCTGGTGAACCTTGGCGGCCACTCAAACGAGAAACTGTAAAAATATATGAAATTATTTCAATATATTCAAATATGTGACACTTTTTTATACTTACACCTGGGAGACTGTATACGACTAGCTGGCTTTTTACGACCCGACGATGGTGAATTATTAGCAGATGGATTTGAATTTTCAGAAATTTCCTCTTGCAACTGACGTTGATGATGTTGGGCTTTGCTAAGTATTAAACGCAATTTACGCTCATTCTCATTTTCCAAAGCTTTACCAATTAGCGGACATACTGAACTCAAGTACTTGGCCAAGGCAGCCTGTTCACCCAAACGAAAACTGCGGCCTCGCCCCTGACTGTATAACCATTCGGCTTTAAGGCTGAAAGAAAATTGTTTTCCAATTTAGTCCCATTTATTTGATAAAATGAAAAAAAGCTTCACAAACCTCTCAATGGGATCCACCACAAATCCATCAATAATTTTTAAACTTAAACACCAATTTAAGACAAATGGTCTATGATCGAAACCACTGAAAAATATTTATAAACTATTTAAATTGTCCATAATTATTATTTAGTGTATAACTTACTCAGGTCCAGCTGTCATTGAGACACAGGGATTTTCATTAATCGTTAAACTATTTAAATTAATAAGATTTGTTAATGAACAAATTTCATTAAGATCACTTATATTATTTTTAGCCAAAGTAAGAGCTTCTAATGAAGTCGGTAAATATTTGTCACATTGTCTTAAATGCGTTAAACGATTACCATGCAAGTACAACTCCTGTAATTTAAGAAAATTATTATGAATCTTTCATTTAAATGGTATCTTCATTTAAAATGTTATTAATGTTCCTAAGATAACTTATTTTTCCCGGTGTTTAAAGTATAACTAACAAAACTGTTTAAACATAACTCCTTCGGTATGATAAACTATTTTTTATTCTTGACCTATAGAATAAATACTTTTTTGACACATTTTTGATTTTATTATAAAATTTTTATAGTTTATAAATTAGATTCTGGATTCCGCTCCAGTCAAGGTCCACAAAGGAGGTATTTAAGTATAGATTTTGATGAACTGGTTTATGGTAGCCTTTGGATCAAATTGCCATTTTCAGTGGCATGCCTGTTATGAACCAATTGGTTTCCAATCCGGAATAAATTTCGCTGAATAGTTGTTATATGTACAAAAAATATTCATGTTGAATTTCGATCTGATATGTTTCTCCGTTATTTATGGTCCATTTTTACTTATTTTAAACAAGAAACTATTCGAAAGCATTATATCAGAAATTACTAAAGATTTAGATCTCGCAGATATCTGGAGTCCACAGAAAACTGATTTAAAAATAGATACGGACATTGATAAATTGAATTGGCCATCTATAGGGACTCAGAATATTTATACAAATGGAATGACCAACTCTTCACTAATGTATACAACATAACAAAATCTACTTGCTCTCTCAGGTCAAAAAGTAGATTTAAAATAATCTTTAATATTCAATTCTAATATAATAGGAGTGCATTAAACGCAATTAAATTCAATACTTTTACAAAACAATTTTATATAAAAAACAAAAACCAAACAAAATCATACCTTAAGGCTTTTCAGAAATGAAATATCCGATATACTGCCAATACTATTTTCAGCTAAATTCAAAAATTCCAATTTTACATTCGTATTCAAATGTTCAATTGTCTTGATGTTATTTCCCTCCAGATTCAAATAACGCAAATGAACGCACTCCTTCAGACCTTCAATCGATAGTATGCCATTGAAGGATAGATTTAAATCTCTTAAACAATGTAGACGGCAAACACCATACATGCGTAATAATTGATTTTTACTTAAAGACAACTGCAAAAGAAACCAAAGGAAAAATTACGAAAAAAAAACAATAGATTAGTATGTCTACATATATCTTACAATGTCGGCTGGTAAATTATTATTCAAAGTACATTTACCTTTTCAATTTTAAGATATGAATCGATATTATCAATTTTTTGCAATTCATTTTCATCCAATAGTAAAGTACGAACATTTTGAGCGTCTTCTTGTTTTGGCACCTTCTTCAGTTGTTTGCGAGACAAGTCCAAAATAATTTTTTCGTTTTCCTCTTCACCTAGTTAAGTCAACAATAAAGGAAGGAGTCGTTAGTCGAACTTGTATGGCGACATAGTTAAATATTTCATTTGTTGTGGTTTAGTTTTCTTCAGTAAGGAGTAATAAGTTTTGAGGGGCATACGATATGTTTTGAGAGGGTTGGTAACATGACGTCATATTCATGGCATTTAATAAATTATTAATGCTATTATTACCTACTTCCATCATAGACTTAGGGGTTGCATTTTACAAAAATACTTGAAATTCTTATTGCCACAAAAGAAAACCGGAAAGGCTGAGCAATTAAAAAGTGAAGGAATTCAGGTAACATATAAACACACACTCTCAAAACACCTAATTCATCACACATATGTATGTAAGTATGTATTTAATATTGCATGTAATCCAATTGGAATTGCAATAAACAACTCCAACTAGCAATTCCTATGATATAATTTTATATTATTGTAATAAAATTTTTAACTTACTCATTTTGTTGATCGATTTTATTAATTAAATGTAGAAATATTGCTGGGTAAATATTTTACTACTTCCTATCTAGTTCCTTCTGGGCTTGCTGATGGAAAAATCAATTTTCGTCCTTTTGTTTTGGGGGAGTTTTTTATTTTTACTGCAGACGGTGCGGCTGTTTTCTATATTTTTTCCTTATTAAATTTTTATAAGTTTTACCATGTTTTGTAAAGTATTCTTGACTTTATTCTTATACATTATTTAGTACTCTATTTTATTATAAAAAAATTATTTTATTTTTAATTTAAAATAGCGTATTTTATATATTTTTCACAAGTTTTTTTTTTAAATGCAGCAGCCAGAGAACTGTGCTGACAAACATTAACGGCGGCAGCGGCTGACAAAAAATTTCGGCGTTGATTCAAAATCCTCTATAAGGCGGCATAGTTCTTAGCTATGTTTAAAACATTTCAACGATATTAAATAAGAACTGAATACAAATGATTAAAATGGGGGATTTTGGAAGAAAATACATATTTTAAAAAATAATAAAATCGGGAATAAATACAACTTAATACAAAAAATAAAGTATGAAAACTAAAAAACAGGCAAATATAAAAAAAACATATCTCTGGGAAAAGTATGTTGAAAAAGTATATTTTATTTACATCGATATAAATAATATATCAAGAATAATATTCCGAAATAAAAAAAGTTGATAATTGTATAAAGTTGTAGCTGTAATATATAAAAATATTAAAAAAAGTAATTAATTTCAAAGCTTTAAAAATCCAAAAATGATATGAAAATTGTTGAAGTAGATCTTATATTTTTCGCTATATAAAATAATTATACATATTAACAATTATAAACAATTGCGTTACCATATGCAATTGCTGATAAAATCGGTTTTCTATAACGAGTGGCTTATCAGACATATGTATTACATATTATGTATTGTGATATCATTCGAGAGGGCACTTGAAAAGCTTTCAATTTAAAAATTTCAAACTATGTTTACCATCCATTAACAAATTGATGGTTGCAATTTAAATTAACTATTAAAATTAGAGATTTGTATATGCTATCTGAAAAACAAAAATCAAAGCATACTTTTAGGATTGTCAAACACTGATTTATATTTGGCAATGCTATTTTTGACGACGTAATTGAAATGGCAACTTCTTCTAATCTCACAGTAATCAGAAATCATATATAACACAAATATTTTTAATACCTTTTATTTCATGGAAATTGGCAACTACAAAAAATTTTGTTTTTCACATCTGTTCAGAGCTTAGTCCAGGCGCCAAAGAAAACTAAAAGTCTCCGCCGTAATTTTTAGGTGGTCAGTTGCCGTCGCCGTTAATCTTTGTCTGCGCAGGTCTCCACATCTGTTTCATTTTACAAAATTTGGCGCAATCAGTTTGTTTATTTCACAATAATTCGCAAAATAATTGCAATAAATTATCTCCAATAATGTCCGGAACATTTGAACCACGCACCCTCATCAATGGCAATATGTTAAGAACCCATTTGGGTCAAAATATAAGCATTATGTTATGTGTGGAAGATGAGGCTGGCACAAATTTAACTGGAATCTCTACGGATGACCAAAAAATTACTGTGAGTTTGTCCGATTCGGTGGGAGCGGCTAAAGGTGATTGGATAGAAGTCATAGGAAAAGCAGCTGGTCCCTCGGCAATACGAGCTAGTGAGGTTGGTATAATGTGTAGTACAGTGGTTTTTGAGTTTTTATTATAAACGATTTTTTCTATTCTAGGCCATTTTATTTGGTGGAGAGAATGTGGATTTCGATAAAGAAGGCTACAATATGATGGTTTCATTTATGAACAACTGTAAAGAAATTTATCGTCATGGTTAATTTTGTTAATAAATTTAATAATAAGTAAGTTGTCTGTTTTTTATTTTATTCGAATAATTTTTCTTATGACGAGTGCCAGCTATAGTGTGATTCATATTTTTTGAAGAAAAAATATGTACCTGACATGTAATTCAAAAACTCTTCCGATTTTGTCACATAGAAAACAATTTTCGGAATGGAATGATTTTTTGTACATATAGTATATCTTAATGGAAAAGAATAAATCACTCTGTAGGCGTAAGAATGTCAAGCACGATCGTAAGGAATTGCCTATATGTATGTAAAAAGTAGCTCTACACAAAATGTATTGACAGTTTTAATTGATGCCACAGTTTTAACTGATGAAAGCCCCAGTCGGGCTTTGAAGACCCGATCTTTCCCCACTATAGTAGTGTATCGTATAAATATACACACAAACCTAATTATTTTAAGTTGAGAATGCTTTTTATTTATAAAAACAATAATTTTATTTAAATTTGATCTCTGTTTTTCATCACCATTGCAAAAAATTATGAATTTTCTTACAGTTTTCCAAAGTAATTATTATTTTCCTTCAATAAGTAAACGTTCAGTCCTTTTTCTTGAATATTGCCGCTTTATATACTTCGCTTACTTTGTATGGCATTCGTTCCAAATCTTCCATAAGAGACATTTCCTCCTTTAGATTATTCAAGTACATACGTTGTAATTTCCGAATCATGGGATTAATAACTTTCGAATTGACAACATCATCTAGGGATATAGTCAATGTGTCGGTATTCCGACAATCCAAAAAATCTCCTTTACCAATTTCAGTCATTACATCTTTTTGTGATTGTACAGTTTGTAGCCGATCGGTGCAATGTTTGCATCCGCCCAGTGTCAAAGGATACTGGGTGGATGGTTGTTCTTGCAATCCACAGGCATGATTTTCTCCAGTGGTATCTACTTCCGTATTGCACATTTGTTTAAGAGTCTCATCGATTACTTCGTGTAGCTTACATTGGGACGTTACCATTTTTCGTAAGTCGTGTGAACTTTTGCGACTTACCACCGTTTTCGAAGACTTTTGACTTTTAGCACTATCTTCTGAGCCGTTGCCACCAAGTCCTCCCAAATTTGAATCATTTTCGTAAATAAAACGATGATCACCAATACAATCATCTACGAGGGCATTTGAATGATACTTACGCGAAGAGTTTGAGTTTAAGGCTGGAGCTGATGGTTTAGGATTGGACTGTAATTGTTTTAAGCAGTAATTATCACTCATACTACGTTGTCTATAGGAATCACTACTGTGATGTGTTACATGGGTGGGATAGTGTAACAAGCGATCAGCATCGCCACCATTATTTGAAGTTTGATTTAAGCTTCGCTGCTTGGCGGCAATATTTGAGTCTAATTCGTGAATTTTTTGTTGAGCTTTCGCTGACTGTTCTTTTATATATTGTGCCGATGACTCATTTAAATAATTTTCACGAATTTTTTGCTGGAAAATAAATATAATAAATTCTATCTTCAATCATAGAACTATACAAATATAAATATTACTTGTAATTTTGGATTTTTTACATGACCCATAAAATTATGTCTAAATTGATGCCGATACACTTCATCATCCATTGTTCTTCTGATTTTGGGTGAAAAGATCTCTAGATTTATTATTGTTTGTGTTTAAAAAAATATTGGGATGGATTTCTTAAAAGTTGTAGTTATAAAATATATTACTTTTTATTTTTTCTTTTTAAAAATTCTGATTGAAGTATTTAAATGATTTTTATAACAAAGGTGAGTTGTACTGTTCTGAAATGTCATTTGTTTAACCGTTTATAAAAATAATTATGTACCTGCAGTTCTTTCACTTTAAGGAATTTTAGATAGATAAATAAGATTTGGTACAGAGCTTCGTCTTGGAGTCTTAATTAAAGGGCTTAAAGTCACCATTAATCCTACGTAAGAGATGTTGTGGGTCAAAGGTTATAAAAATCAGTTATCAAATTAATTATCTTGCTTATTGTGATTCCTACTACTTAGATGCTACTACATTTCTTTAGATTTTAAAATATCATTGCACTATAGCTTGAAAACTACTAATCATATGCCAAAATGGTCTTTAGTTAAAATGCAGGTAATTTAATTCTCTAGTGAAATTATTATAGCATATTTTTAAAAAGTGGTTAATAGGTATTAAAAATCTGTTAAAAATTTTCAAAAAAGTAAAAATCCTTACTTATGACTTTTATACATATCTTTAAAGTTTTTTCTTCCATTTTGTAAGAAATTATATAAAATTTATTATAATTTTTGATTAAAAATGTATATGAACTTACTAAACAGTAATTAAAATGTAGTTATAAGAAAAATTATAAAAGTTATAACGAAATAGTCTCCATATAGTTTTCAAACGAACGTGTTATAATTGAATGTTCCGGTCCAAGTTGAGTATCTGCCATCACAGCTAAGCGGAATTTATCACCAAATCGATGTATATTCAATGAAAGGCCTAAAAATAGAAATATACAAAAAATAGATAGAGTTTTTGACTATTAAAAAAATAATTGGATTGAAATCCGTAGAAAATATAATAATATCCTCTTCTACAAAATTTCCAATTGCATTTCAAAATATACACCGAATCAAAAGAATTTCTCCATCCATCATGCAATTAACATCGAAAACCACCGGTTTTTTCCAATGTTAAGGACACGATAGCTTCAAAACTTGAAATAAGAAAGGAATTCTGACTCCAGATTCGGATCGACTGCTACTCAAAACTTTGGAAAATAAAAATTTGTCCCTAGAAATAAAAAAAATTTCATAACGAGTGTTAATCATGCTACAAGTTCTTCAATTGGAAATTTCTAAAATAGAAATGTGGTTTTCTAAAATAGAGTTTCTGAAATATAAACGGAAATTTAGAAAATCCTGAAATACAATTGGAAATGATGTAGATCTAAATAATAGTTTTGTTTTAGTACTTGCAGATTTGTAAATAATTTTTTTGATACATTTTACTACTTACAAGTTTTCGATTGTGGCGGACGGAAAAGTAAGACATCTTCTACCTTTTGACCCCATAATGTCTGAAATTCTGAATTTTCACCATGTATTTCTGTTATGGTTACTGGAAAGTTTGAAGAGAAATAATTTATGCATATTTTTGTCAATACACTTGGAAAGATAGACGTTAACATGTCATATTTAGTTTGGCCCATTGAGGCCAAATAGATCATAATCTGCTTGCGACGTATTTGCTCAATTATCGAATGAATTTGTTTTACATGATCACGATCGGGTACTTTCAAAGGTAATTGTAGGAAGACAACTCCGCCAATAAAATCGGTCTTATCACCCAGATTATCTGTTAAATATCCCTTGCCCATGGTACGACAAGTGGTATTAAGCATTTTGGGTACCGGTACTTCTTTATTATAATATTGAAAGTACTCATAAATGGCTGCAGACAAACAGGCGAGTATGTAATCTGATTCGCGTACTTCATCGCTGAATGTTAAACGTTTTTGCAACTGTTTGCCATCTATGGATTTGGTAAACGAAACTATCTTTCGGCCCGAATAAGACATTTTATGTAATTTATTCTCTTCTTTTGAAGGATATTGTACTAGTTCTTCATAGATATTAACTGGAGCTTTAAATATTTCATAGCAGATTTTAATAAACTCCATTTGAGCATAAATTAACAATGGAACATAAACGGATAAACGGCTACTATATGTTGTGATAAGTCTGGTTTCTCCTTTAAATATTAACTCCCTCATAGCAAAGAGTTCAAGATAAACGTTATATGGTATCGACATTATACTACTGACATTAATTTGCCACATTATCTTTGCCCAGGTTTTTGTTAAATTCGTTAACTGCAGGGAATTACGCACAGCATCATTAGCAACTTTCCAAGACAAATGACGTTTGTTGACTTCCTTTGCCACCAGTTTTGTTAAAATCCTATATCTACCTTCCACCTCTGGCTGATGTTTGCGCAAAGATTTAGTTTTATGTTTGGATGACATTATTTTCCAATAATTGACAAACACGTTCACTGCTATTATCAGCAAAACTGAAAGTAGCTGTGACAGAGTTGTGATTTTTAAATCAATTACCCCATCAGGAGTTTCTAAAGATTCAAATTCATAAATAAATTTATTCCACTGGTTAAGTATCACCATGCCAATATGTCGGATAAGGTTTTCTATGTGATGTGGTTTGCGTATGAAAGATGAAATATTATTTAATTTCGAGTTTTGTCTTGTAATACCACCGATTTCTAAGAGTGGCTTATTGCTATCATCTTTTAACATTAGCATTTCGCTAATGTGAAGATCATCCTCATCGGCTATGATTAAATGATGTATTTTCAAAAGAATATAATAATGTTCATCCTGTAAAATTATGAAATTTATTTTAATTACTCATGATAATATTCTGATATATGAATGGATCTATCTATATATGTTTTGATTTGTTTTCTAATGCTTCCCAAAATAGTTTAAATTTATTTATTAATCATGATAGTTTGTCTAAGATTGACCAAATCCCCCTAAAACCCCTTACACAAAATCAGTTATATGACGATGTTATAAGAAATTATAACTCCCGCAAAGTCTGTAGAATTCGGTCAAAAACTTACACAAAATCTTATTAACGAGTTTATCACGTTTTGTAATGACCTATGTTTATATATGTAATTCATTTAAAATTAAGTACCGATTATCGAATAGCGAATATTTAAGATTCAGCAAAACCGAACTTACAGTTTTACTAGATACAGTTCACTAGATTCAGTATTTATTGGGAAACATCTTAAAACAAAACAAGTTTTTTCCTAAGTGATTCTCAGTTATGTACATATATATACTTTTTACCTGATCAGATTCTTCTTTATTCTCCTCTTGACTCGTAGAAGTTTTTGTGGTCGTTGGTATTACAATAACTTGCCATTGTGGTAAATCCGATGGAATATATTTAGTTACTAAATCGCTAATAAAGTCTTGAATATTAGAATCATTTACAGCATATCCACGATGGGGTGAGGTGTTCAACAAAATATGATTATTGAGATTAAATGAACTAAATACAATAATAATAAAGTAATAATGTTAAACGATTTTTTAAATTAATCACCATTATATTTACCTTGTATCCTTTACCCAGCCATAATGACCCCAACAATTAACTAATTGTTGTCGCAATTTGGGAAATTTCAATTGACCCGTTTTCTCGCGAGCACTCGTTAAATGTTCTTCATAATATCGTTTAATTTGATCGAAATCACATGGACCTTTCACTTGTACTAGGAAATTGAAAATGCCAGCATTTCGTCGTGTGTCAATGAGAGAACGTATCTTTTTCGTTTTTGAGATTGATATTTGTGGATATTTAATTGATAGCACATAATTGACTAATTCGTTGCTGTAGTGTACAACTGAAATGGTATAATTGATATAGTAAATATTATTGGGACATCAAAATAATATTCGTAGTAGAACATCATCATGCCCGTTTTGGAAAAGTTGTGTATAATTTCTGAATAAATCTACTACTATTCAGTAAAAAGAATAGTAGTAGAAATTTTAGCAAAAATATAGTCACTGCAGTATTTATTTATAATGTTATTATACCCACCATCAAAAAAGATGGGGGGTATATTGTTTTTGTCATTCCGTTTGTAACACATCGAAATATTCATCTAAGACCCATAAAAGTATATATATTCTGGATCCTTATTAAATTCTAAGACGATCTAGCAATGTCCGTCCGTCTGTCCGTCGGTCCGTCTGTCTGTCCGTCTGTTGAAAACACGATAGAGTCCAAACGGAAGCAGCTAGCGAGCTGAAATTTTGCACAAATATTTTATATTGATGCAGTTTGTTTGGTATTGAAAATGAGCAATATCGGTCCACGATTTCGCCTAGCCCCCATATAAGGTCCCCTTCAGAAAACGACTTTAACGCTCATAACTGACTAAAAGAAACATCTATAGCGATGAAATTCGACATGAACATATTTTACAGGAACCTTAATATCATTGTAAAATTTTTTAAGGATCGGTCCATAATTGACCCTATCCCCCATATAAGGTCCCCCTCAGAAAATGATATTAACGCTCATAACTGACTAAACGAAGCAGCTATAGCAATGAAATTCGACACAAGAACATATCTTATAGGAATCTTAATAACACTGTAAAATTTTATAAGGATCGGTCCATAATTGACCCTATCCCCCATATAAGGTCCCCCTCAGAAAATGACATTAACGCTCATAACTATCTAAAAGAAGCAGCAATAGCGAAGAAATTCGACATAAACAATTTTTATAGGAATCTTAAAATCATTGTAAAGTTTTATAAGGATCGGTCCATAAATGACCCTATCCCCCATATAAGGTCCCCCTCAGTAAATGACATTAACGCTCATAACTGACTAAAAGAAGCAGCTATAGCGATGAAATTCGACACAGACATATTTTTTAGGAACCTCAATATCTTTGTAAAATTTTATAAGGATCGGTCCATGATTGACCCTACCCCCCATATAAGGTCCCCTTCAGAAAATGACATTAACGCTCATAACTGTTTAAAATAAGCATCTATAGCGATGAAATTCGGCATAAACATATTTTATAGGAACCTTAATATCATTGTAAAATTTTATAAGGAACGGTCCATAATTGACCCTATCCACCATATAAGGCCCCCCTCAGAAAATGACATTAACGCTCATAACTGACTAAAAGAAGCAGTTATAGCGTTGAAATTCGACACAAATATATTTTATAGGAACCTTAATATCTTTATAAAATTTTATA